ACCTCCCCACGTCACAGATGGTGTGATTATTGCTTTGTGTTCTTGTCCCATAGAATTGCACATCTGAGGGGGATGAGGAAGTAACCCTAGTTTTATGCAGTACTGGGGACTCAGAGCAGGACTTTGTGACTGTTAGCCAAGCACAGCTCAACGACATGCCCAGCCTTTTATCATAGATCTCTTCCACCACCCCCACCCCAGTACTGGGGATTGAACCCAGAACCCAGAGCCTCATGCAGACTAGGTAAAAGTGCCCTATCACTGAGGTACACACCTACTCCTTGGTGAGATTTAAAAAAAATCTGCTAAAATAGTTATTTTATGTCTGTTTTATGGATTTGGGGCAGGTAGAATGAGGTGGAGTTGACAAGATCTCTTCCTCCCCCCCCCCTCACAAGAGAAGGTCTCATATCTCACTATGTAGCTCTGGCTGGCCTGGAACTTAAGAAAGGTCTGCATGCTCTTGATTCCTGAGTGCTGGGATTAAAGGTATACATCGCCATGCCAGGTGCATTTGATGTTTTGTTTTTGCAGAGTCTATCTCAGGCTGATCTGAACTCGCGGCAACCCTCCTGGAAGTCACAGATGTGAGCCACCACCTCCATTTGGCAAATACATGTTTCAAACAAGGGCTCCAGAGAGCTGTTGTCTAGACTCAGGAGCGGTGGTCTGTCCCCTGGTGTAACCTGTTCTTGTGAGTGCCAACAGTCCTTTTACTCAAAAGTACACAGGAGGGCCTTGAGGGACAGGCAACACTGACAAGCCCCAGCTTAGAGAAGACAGGACATAATATAGTGAGTGTCTGCACTATGTGGACAGGCCACCCCTCCCACCTGGCCTTCAAAGGCTCCTCTTACCCCAGGGCCTTAGCAGGGGGCCTGCTAGGCAGTGGGTGGGCTCAGGAAAGGCTATTAAGAGGGAGCCTTCAGAGAGAAGCCTGCTTGGTTGCCTACAGCACAGAGCCCTCCCCATGCAGCCCAGGTGTGGTGAAGCTAAGGGACTCAGAACCCTCCAGGCAGTCCAGTAAACAGGAAACCAGATGAGTCCAACCAAGTAACCTGAGCTTTGACTGTCACAAGGACCAGTGAAAATCCTCCACAAGAGATCTTCTTTTGGATTTTTAGTCTCACAATTGCCTTGCTCCAGGCAAAAAACAGCAAACCATTTACTTACATGACTCATTGACTTGCTAATGCATGTCTCCAGGGCAAGTTAAAAGAGATAATCAAAAGAGATGCCCCAGGGAGAAGAAACCAGCTTGGCATGAAGTAGATACCTGTAGAGGCCAGTGGTGAATTCATTTGAATACTCTTCCTTTGGGGCAGGGAGTGTGGCTTAGTAGCAGAGCTTGGAGGAAAGCTCCTTAAGAGCAAAGGACATTTTGAAAGTAGATACAAAGATGTGTGACTGGGGAGCTGTGGCATTTTCTACTTGAACATTTCCACACCATTTCATTTTCTGCAATGGCAGTTACTGAGCCCTTTCCTGACAGATACGGATCAAAAACACCCCATAACAACAAACAAAACTAAGAGCTCTGTGCCCACTTCCTTGGGACTCTGCCATCCAAATGTCCTAATGCTGGGCCAGTACAGGTGCCCAGGTTCTGTGAAGCACCCGACTCCTTTGGAGGCTGGGGTTCCCTGCTCAGAGTAAGTAATGTGGTAATCAGTACACAGCAGGAATGTGGGTCAGAGATGAGACCTACGGCTAAACAGGCAAGTGATGGAGTTGGCCTGGCAGGAGCCAGCCAAGGATTTAAAGTCTTAGAGTGACAGGTGATCTGTCAGTGATGACAAGGAAAAGCATGGGATCAAGAAGTTGCATTCCTGTCAGGCATGGTGACACATGCCTTTGGATCCCTGTGAGTTCAAGGCCAGTCTGGGTTACACAGAGTTCCAGGACAGGGCTATACAGAGAAACCCTGTCTTGAAAAAGCAAACAAATAAAAAACAAAACACTTAATAAAACAAAACCAAAATAAGAAACAAACAAAAAAGAGTTGTATTTCAAGCTGTGCTAGTGCATATACCTTTAGGCCCAGCACCAGGAGGCAGAAGAGCTAGATCTCTTATGAGACCTTGCCTCAAAAACCCAACCTTATCTACTATTACAAGTAAGAGAAATGTATAAAGGGGCTTGAGGTCTCAGAGGAGATTCTGAGACAAGGCACGGCCAGGGCTGCCAGTTTCACACAGGTACTGAGAGTCTTGAGAGAGGTGCACTGCTAAGGCTGATGTGAGATTGAGCCCAGGCACCCTTTAGGAACTGGTCCCTAATTCTCAGTATAGCCCAAGCAGGTGGCCATCACTGGGACCCAGCGGCTGATCCCTGCACTATACTTGGATGCTGCAAGTGCAGCTCCGGTCGTAGGGAACCCACTGGTCTCTACAAGGATGTTTTGATTCTTTTTCTACTCTGATCACAAATAGGTCCATCATGTCCAACTACACAGCAGGAGCAGGTGGCAAAGTATGCTGACCCCTTTAGTGCCGTTAGGTGGGATTTCATGCTTTTGTATTTATCTGCTCTGAAAAACTGGTTTTATAGCTGTGTATAAGAGCAAAATTAAACATTTTAATCTCAGTTTTATGTTTGCACACACTTATGACACGGTAATAAAAGTGACTGAAGCTAACCAACATCTTGGGGGGGGCAGGGCCACAAGAACAGCTCTTTTATTCAGTGCTGGGGAACCCTGCTCCTTTGGTGAGCTAGGCCTTATCACTCAGCCCCCTTTTTTCTCCTTTTTTGTGGTTTTTTGAGACAGGGTTTCTCTGTGGCTTTGGAGGCTGTCCTGGAACTAGCTCTTGTAGACCAGGCTGGTCTCAAACTAAGAGATCTGCCTGCCTCTGCCTCCCGATTGCTGGGATTAAAGGCGTGTGCCACCACCACCCAGATCCAATTTTTAAAAAAGGGGTCAGGACATTCCTGAGGTATGAGAACTGGTGTTCCTGATAAGCAATTACAGCAGCATGTGACAAGTGTCTGACACGTGTGAGGTGAGGTGGGGAACCAATAGGGATGTGCAGCAATGACTGAAAACAGGCTGCAGGCCGGTGTCTGTGGGAGACCAGCGCCGTCAGGGTGAGGCAAAGGAAGAATGCCAGGACTCCGCCCGGATGTGCAGTAACCAAGCACCAGTCCCAGAAGAACCAGAACGGAAGCTGGGTGCTTTGAAGTCTGGATCCCATTGAGGACAGTGGGGTCCCTATGTGTGACATGATCAGATGTGTAATTCTATGACTGAAGGGTAAAGGCTGGAGGCAGGGGAACCTGCAAAGGCTGTCTAGGCAGTTGCGGTCTCCAGTTCTAGGCCTTTTATTTTTGCCAATGTGTCTCTAGAGCATGTAAATTCAAAGCCACCTTCCGGGGTCCTGATGGAGCCCCCAAACCCTGTGTCTCCGCCGTGTTTATACCAGTAGTCATCAATCTGCACCCTGCTGCCCCTCCCCCCACGCTAGAGCTCCTTAAGGTATCCTAGAAGCAGGAGCTGGGCCCAATGGAGGACACCCAGGAAGCAAATATGAAGGGCTCGAGGCTGCCCAGCACTGTGGCTATAACCCTGGAGGATCAAGAACGAGAGCAGAACACGAGTACCCAAATGGTGCTGGAGAGCTTGAGAATGTTCCAAGCTTCTCCCCGTTGTCAGCTGAGGAAATGGGACTCGGGACAACAGCAGCCTGGCCAAGGACCAGAGTCCTCTTGCGAAGGGGGTGGGATGCCAACCAGTTCTTTAAGAGTCTAGACTCTGTCTCTGGACATACTTAGGCTAACCACTGTTAGAGTGCAGAGCTAGGTCACAGGAATTCTACTGACTGACTACTCACCATGCCTTTCCACGGAAGGAAGAACAAGAGGCGGGAAGCTCGGGAAGTGGCAAGTTCAGAGGGGAGTGATGGAGGGAGGGAGGCAGCTTGCGGGCTGGAGATGAAATGGTATGAAAGGAGAGGAGACAAGCAAAGGAAAAGCCTACTGGCTCATGAAAGGAACTGTGAAGCCAGCTGGAGGGACAAGTCCCTGGTGTAGGCTGAGGGCCTACTGCAAGCCTCACACAGGGAGGTAAGAGTCAGACAAGGTCTTGGGCACTGGCGGGTCAGCATTAAGGAAACAGAGTAAAGCTGCCTGCAGGTCAACAGGACAACTGAAAAGAGACACTGCCGAGTACAAATATCTCCACTGTGCCCCTCTATGTTGTTTACAAAGGTCCTCTTATACCCATTTCAATATCTGTTCCTCCTAATAGTTCCACCAGGCACTGCAGAGGAATGTATGGCTATCCTCTTCCTTCTGAGTGCTGGGGTCCCAGGTGTGGACTAACGTGTCTACCTCCAGCTCAATTTTTTTCTTTTTGGTTTTTCCAGACAGGGTTTCTCTGTGGCTTTGGAGGCTGTCCTGGAACTCACTCTGTAGACCAGGCTGGCCTCGAACTCACAGAGATCAACCTGTCTCTGGCTCCCGGGTGCCGGGATTAAAGCATGTGCCTCCAACTCTTGGCCCTTCAGCTCAATTTTCAAAAGACCTCTTTAACATCAAGAGAAAACAAATTACTTTGGGTATATGTGAGCCTGAAGAGGCAAGAAGTCGTTGAATCTGCTGAGCTGGGTTACAGAAGGCCCTGCGCTGTCTGATACAGGTGCCAAGAGCCAAACCTGGATCCACAGAAGAGCAGGATGTGATTTTAACCTCTCGGTCATCTCCTCAGTCTCTTTGATTCATTTTTTAACCACTGTAGAGCCCAGCTGTCCTGCAATCAAGTCCTGTTCAAACAGTGTGGCAGGCTGCACAGAATCTCAGCTACTCAGTGCTCTCTCACTTTCAAGGTCAACAATGACACCAGTGACAATTCCTTATCCCTTCGAAAGGGCCAAAACTGCAAGTCCAGCTGCAGTGACCCCACTTTACTGTCTTCCTTTGGGGCCAGGAATAGGTGTTCTCTCTTCCCTGGCAGGGGATCAGGGACAGAAATGGAGACAGACTGGTGCCGGATCCCATCTTACCTGCAGCACGGAGAGGTTGGTCTGTCCTGAGAGACTTAGCTTCTCCTGCTCTGAGGGGTAGGCGTTGTAGCGGTGCAGATACAGCCAGTCCCGGAGGATCTTCACCGACTCCTTGGGCAGGTTCCCTCTGCGCTTCCTCTTGCCAGCCAGTGACAGAAGGCCTTCGTCCTCACCTAGATCGCTGTCCGACATGGTGCCTAGGGGCTAGGCTGGACTGCCGGGAAGCCTGGGGACAAGTGACAAAGGGGTAGGGATAACATTACCACTTCATGCCGGTCCCCTTTTCCTTCTTCTCCCAATGAGTCCACCATTACAAAAAGGAGTCATAGTTCCAAATCTTGGACAGCACCAAAGCTTGATCAAGTAGAAGGATGAACCCTAAATACCACTAATTCATAGAACAGAGAAGGGACTACTTAAACATGCGTGGCACCTCTTTTCTAAAAAACAGAATCGGGCTAGAAAGAACTACAGCTTCCTACTGTAGTTCTACTGAGACAGAGTCTTACTATATAGCCCAGACAGGTCTTAGGTCACAAGCCTCCTGTCAATGCCCAGCTTGAATTCTGTTTTCCAGCCTGCCCTGGACATCTATTACCTCTTGTGAAAGCTCCTGTGAAGGAGAACTTATCATTTTATACACGAGGCACAGACTAAGAAAGCAGCCTAAGGCACCAGAGAGTTACCACATGACCCAGAATTTGAACTGCACACATGGGCCCATGCAGACGCCTGTGCACAAATGCTCACAGCAGCTAAAAGTTGGAAGCCATCAAGAGATCTTCAACAGATGGCTGGACAAATGAGTTATTTGGCCATAAAAAGGAGTACAGTGGGGCTGGAGAAATGGCTCAGCAGTTAAGGACACTGGCTACTATCCCAGAGGACGTGGGGCAGCTCCCAGCACTCAAAGTATGAGGATTCAGGCCCTATGCTGGCCTGCCCCTGCCACCTGACATAATGCACTCAGACAGTGCTCTGCTCAGCCCAGGGTTCCATGGCTTCGCAGTCTGCAGGCAGGTTCAAAGGACCCCTTTAAAAGAAAGACACCCCTTACACTCTTTCCACTCTCTTCCTGCTTTCTCTGCGGTTCCCCTGGGGTACACAGGACTTTTCCTGTCTTCCTCTTCTCTTCTGTCCCCTCTGCCTGTGTCTCTTTACCTCTCTGTCCTTCCCAATACAACTTCTCACTTAAGCGCTGTCTGCCTGGTGTGTTTGTCCCCACCTTGGTCACCCTCATCTGACATGGAATCTGCCAAGGTTCCCCTTGAGATTTAGCATAACACATGGTAGCTCACAACCATCTGTAACTCCAGTTCCAGGGGATTCAATGCCTTCTTGTGCCCCATGTGGTGTGTACACACACACACACACACACACACACACACACACACACACACACACACACACACAAACACTCATACACATAAAACAAAATAAAAGAGTACACTTTTTGATGCCTGCTACAACATGGATCAGCAGTTAATTAAGGCTGAGGGGACAGAAGGGCATTAGCTCGTTATTTATTTTTGAATTTTATACACATATAATAGTCTTTGATCAAAGATCTTCTTGTTCTTCTAAGATTTTGTTTTATGTATATAGATGTTCTGCCTAATGTATGACTGGGCACCACGGATACAGTGCCCATGGAGGCCAGAAAAGGGTGGAGCCTCTGGAATTGGAGTTAGAGATAGTTGTGAGCCTATTGTCTATACTGGGAACTGCGCCCAGGTTCTCCTGCTCTTAAACCATTGAACCATTTCTCCAGCAAACCACCCCTATGCCTGCTCTTATTTTAAAAGTGAATCTGGGTTTGGAGAGATAGCTCAGCAGTTAAGAGAATTTGTTACTCTTACAGAAGACCTGGGTAGCATTCCCCCTCACAACATGGTAGTTCACGATCATCCATCCATAAATCCAGTTCCAGTTCCAGGGGATCAGATGTCCTCCGCTGCCCTCTGAGGTGCACATACATACATACACACATACATACATGCAGGCAAAACACTCATACTTTTTTTAATGTTAAACCTAAACTTTCTTTTTAAAGAGAATTCCCATCTCTTAAGATTCATTATAAAGTAATATTTAGAATCGGGTAGTTTTCCAGCCTAGGCCCAGAGTCAGATGGAAACTGTTCACTGAGGTCCTGCAGTGAGGAGTGAGTCATTCCTATGAAGGTTTCTTAGACCCTCTCGGTGGTTGGGCCTCTGACCTGGACCCAGACTTAATCTCAGAATCCAGATCAATGAGGTGCGGCTCCGGTCCCTGCTTTAACTTCCACTGGGCTGTGTGGCCTCCTTTCTCTGAGTTTAAAGCCCTCCTCCTTCCCTGGTCAATGAAGTAAGGTTTCTGCCTAGATAACTCATATCAGCTGCTCCTCCACCAGACAAAGTTCCTGTTCACAAAAGCAAAAGAAATTTACATTTTAAAAGCACAAATTCTAGGCCAAGGCTGTGCCAGAATCTCCAGGCTCCTCCCTTCTCTGCCTTTTAACAGCTCCCCAGCAGGCCTCGCCAACAGACTCTGGCATCTCCCAGGTTTTGTTTCCTCGACTTGGGCCTGAGCCCAGACCTCTGGGCTGGCTAAGCCAGACTTTCTTTCGAGGGAAGGGTCTACCTTCAGCCAGGCCACCTGGAGGTGAAATGTATCACAAATGGGCTGCTTTCTGAGGGCAGACATTTCAGCCACCAGGACAGCTGGGATACCAGCTCAGGGATGCAGCCCTGGCGGTTGGTGAAAGTTTACTGAAGATCATCTTTACAAATTCCACTCTGGCTGCCAGCCAAGAACCCAGTCTTCAGGTTTGCCAGTGTGGGCCAGAGGAGGAACCCTCAGCGGGAACTGTTCCACCTCTGGATCCTGCACCCCGGCTTGCCTGCAGGATTCCCACACTCACATCCCAGGATTACCTCGCTACCCTCCCCCCCCATGCAAGTTTAACAGTGCTCAAATAGCCGACCCGACCCACTGCTCGCATCCCACAAGTTCCCCGAGTTTTACGAACGCACAGTTTACACCCCATACCTAGCACCAACGACTACAACGACTCTTGAGACTAGGCCAACTCTGCACCCGCCCACCCACGAACTCCAAGTGACCTGCCCACCCACGATCTCTCCGACCGAGGAGCACGCACGTCACCACACGGGCCATCCATCAGCTTTCACCCTAACTGGGTTATTGGCTGCACCCCTTGGACACTGCGCCCCATGCAATCCCCTACACACTCCCACCACACCATCTGCTGCAGCCACTCCCACAGGAACTTTCTGACAACTTTCCCAGCTCCAGATACTCTCCCCCAGGCCGCACACAGGGGCTGGAGTTCTCAGCAGTTCACACAAAGCGCGCAACCTCCCCCACGGCCCGGACGCAGAGGAGCACATGGCTCATGGGGCGCCGACGAATCCGCCGGCGCTCAGAGCACCCTCATCCCCCGTCCTCCCCCCCCCCCCCGGTCATGAAGCGTGCAACAGTTTCTCTGCCGGGTCGCCACCTGGTGGGGGGAAACTCTGCAAGAAAGAAAACTCACGTGTCCATTCTGGGACAGGAAAAAGTTTGGTTCCCAACCCCTTCCCCGGTTCTCCGCGCAGGCTGACTCTTGGGGCGCGGGGCCGCCGGAACGTGCGCGCTCGGCTTTGTGCTCCGAACTCGGCCCGGAGGGGGAGGGGAAGGGAGGGGGCTGGGCTCCAACCTCCGCGCCGCCCCCCCCCACCCCAGCTCTGCGCCCAGACTCCATGTTGGTCGCCCCCCTGCACCGGGGACGCGCACAGCCCCCGCAGGAGGCTCGGCGGCCCCACGCCTGGCCCCGGGGTCCCGGCGCGCACAAACTTTCTCCGCGTCGCCAGCCCCACGCGCCTTACAGTCTTGGCCCGCCCGGGAGTGACAGATGCCTCGGAGACAGACTTTCCTTTGTTCCAAAGGAAAGGGGAACTCGCGCGGGCTCCCCAGCCCTCCCCGTCGGGGCCCCGCCCGCGGCCCCCACCTCCAGCTGTCACTCGGCGGCCCCCGGTCCGGCTCGGCCGCCGTGGGGGGGGGCTGCCGGCGGTTAGCAACGTGCACTTTTGAAACCAAACAAACCCGCTCCCCGCGCGCTCACCCCGCTGCGGGGCACCGGCCGCTCTCTCCAGGCTGGGATCTTTGGGAGCCGCCCCCAGAAAAGGATGCCGAACGAGCACCCCCCCCCGACATCCCGCGCCAGAGTTCAGCGGTCGGGACTCACACACACCCCCGGGCTCACACACCCACTGTCGCACGCGCCGGGACGACGCCCCCTCCCCCGCCCCGCCGCCCCAAGAAACTTTCCAAGTTGTCCGCGCGCCCCAACCCGCGTCTCCAGCCCTCCGGCGGCCCGCACTCACCTTCCCCGGCGGCCTTCCTGGCCCACGCGGCCTCGGTGGGGTGCGGGACGGCCCGGGCGGGGCGGGGGTCGCCGGGGGAGCGCGCCTCGTACCTGCCGGGTCTGACACCCGCCTGACAGCTCGCGGCTGGAAAGCACCTCGCGACCTGACGTCAGATCCCCTCTCCTCCCATCGCGCCCGCCGCCCCCTCCCCCACCGCCCCGAGGCAGAAACAAACTTTGCGCTGAGCGTGGCCAGCTACGCCCACCCCCGGGGGCGGGCCCGCGGAGCCAGGGGGGCTTCGCCCCGCCCACGCGCCGGAGGGGCGGGCCCGCGGCCCCTCCTTCCTGCGCCCACCCACCTTAGGAATGCCACATGGCCCGGGCCGGGGGCGGAGCGGTGGGACCAGGACTCCAGAAGTCAGTTCGGGGGCAGGAAGTGGCCCTCTCCTCGTCTCGAAGAGCGTTTCCGGAGCGCCTACTGTGTGCGCTTCGCTGGGGGTTGGGCGCATTTCCAGGACCTTTGAAAGTTCCTTCCCAACTTTGGGTGCTTGCCGGTGTGGGGAGGGGAAACTGAGGCTTAGTGGATGCGGAGACCTAACTCCCAGCTGCTAAGGGACCGGAGGGTCGGCCAGGGGTGAGTACAGGCAGCCAGCCTCGCTTTGGAGGTGCGCGCCCTCATGGGTCTCATGATAGTTCTCGAGCCTTTCTCGTGGTGGGTAGCCTTAGATGGAGACGGAGCGTGAGGCTAGGCTCTTCCAGCGGTCCAGGCTGGTGTAGTTTTCCTCAGGTTTTTCGAGACAAGGTTTCTCTGTGTAGCTTTGGAACCCACTCGTTCTGTAGACCAGGCTGGCCTCGAACTCGCAGAGGTCCTCTTGCTTCTCGAGTGCTGGGATTGATTTCCTCAGGTTTTCCTTGCCTCCAAGTTCCCTTACTGGCTGCTTTCTCTTGGCTCTACAAATGTGGCAGAGCCTAACTCTAGCTCAGAGAGAGGCCTTTTCTGGGTTTATGGTCATACAGGCTCAGAGACCTGAAACCCTTGTGCTAGTACCAACAGCACTGGAACAGTAGTCAGTAGTTTTTTGTTTTTCTTTTGTCATGCTGCTATTATCTTGTTATTTTACTATTGAGCTGGGGTCTCAGGCTGGACTCAGACTTCGGCTGCTTCTTCAGCTACCTAAGCAACAGAGACTACCGTTGTCATCGCTAAATCAGGCTCAGCTCTTTTTTTTTTTTCTTTGAGTTTAGTCACAAAAAACTTTGGGAACAAAACTTAAGTTTTCCTCCCAGAAAGCCCTAAGCTAATCAGAATGCTGATCAAATGACTTTTTTTTTTTTAGCTCTTTTTTGTTCTGATGCACTTGAGATTTTATTTATTTATTATATATGTAGAATTTTGCCTGCGTGTACGTATGCCAGAAGAGGGCACCAGATCTCACTGTGGAGATTGTGAGTCACCATGTGGTTGCAGGAATTGAACCCAGGACCTTTGGAAGAGCATCCAGTGCTCTTAACCACTGAGCCATCTCTGCAGCCCCCTCAAATGACTCTTAAGGTGTACCTGGGTTTCATGGAAGACAGACTTGCCTGGAAATGCTTAAAACCAAATGGTCATGCAGCTTTCCTTCTAAAATATCGTTAACATTGCCCAGACCTCCGTTTACTAATGGGGAAGCCAAAACCCAGAGATGGTCAAGCAATTTCTTACCCAAGTGGGATTCCATCCATAGATCTTGGGTGTTTTGGGCAAGAAAGGTAAAGCCTACTGGGCTTTGGCCACTAGGGTAACAGTGTGCAAGAGGAAGGGACCCTCATACAGGTGGGGCCACTAGGGAAAATACAGGGGCAGCCTGGACATTTGACCAGGTTCTTACTGCTGAGCTAGATCTCAGGTGTGTGCTGCAAGAAAGAGCTATGTCTTCTCGTTGGGGCAGGAGCCACTGGTGGCCAGGCACAAGCCCACAGAACTTTCCATAGATTCCATTTGTGGCAGCCCGCTAGGCCAGTGTTACTAAGTCTGCTAGGTTGGGAGATCAGGGGAGTGACCTGTTCCTTCCCGTGGCCTGCATGCGGCAGAGCCAAGTGAGTGCTGACTGACAGCTCTCAAGTCTCCCTGACCCTTCTGGAAGGGTACCAGGCTGGGTGAGGGGGGATGCTTCTCTGTAAATATAGTGTGAGATGTATGCATCGTTAGGCCAGACATTCCACTGGGTTAGTATTTTTAAAGTAGCTATACTGGGAAGCTAAAGCTTGCCTGAGATGATTCTTCACAGCGGTTTGTTCTGGAAAATTCAAACATCTGGGTGCCCTTCCTGTGTCTGGATGGTTATTGGCAACCACTGAAGATGTCATGGTGTACATCTTTGTGCTCTAAACTGGAGAGGGCTGGTGTGGATTTGTTTTCAGCCATAGTGTTGTGCCTAGAAGGGGTTTTGGCCAGACTTGATAATTTTGACAAGAAAACTTTTTCCAACTGGTGTTTGTTTTGGTTTGTGACAAAATCATGTTGTTCCCAGGCTGGCCTCAAACTCCCAAGCTCAAGGATATTCAGACTCACAAACAGCACTGTGTACGTGAACCGCCATGTCTGATGGTAAGTTATATTTTCTCTCATTTTATTTTATTGCTTATTTTGATGAAATGGGTCGTCTTACTCTGTTGTCCTGTCTAGTTCTTCAACTTCAGTTTGAGTGCCAGGCCTGGAAGTGTGCTCTCTCATCTAGTTTTGTCGCATGTACTCTTTAACAAATGTGAATTCAGTGTGTGGATAGACACATATACTTACTGTGGCAGGAAACCCTTCTTTTTCCTACATATTAAGAAACAGTGCTGGTTGTGGTGACACCTCAAATCGTAGCATTTGGAGGCTGAGGCAAGTGGATCTCTGAGTTCAAGGTCAGCCTGGTCTACATAGTTCTAGGCCAGCCACAGCTACGTAGTGAGACCTTATCTCAAAGGAGGAAAGAGAAAATAAACAAACAAACAAACAAACAAATAAATGGACTACGGCTAAGCAGTGAAGCTCTTGCCTAGCATTGGTAAAACCCTAGATAGGTTCAACACCCAGTACTTCCGCAAAACAAAATCAACCAAAGAAGGAAATCATTGACCTGGAAGTTTCCTTGACAGTTCCCTGAGGCCATTGTGGTGAAGTATGTTAGTAATCCCAGTCCTCTAGAGGTAAAGGCCCAACAATCATGAGTTCAAGGTCAGCCTTAGCTATAGGGCAGTGGTTCTCAACCTTCCTAACACCAAGGCCCTTTAATACAATTCCTCATGTTGTGGTGAACCCCCATCTGTAAAATTACTCATGGCTACTTCATAATTGTAATCTTGGTTGTTTTTTTTTTAATTTATTATGTATACAGTGTTCTGTCTGCAAGCCAGAAGAGGGTACCAGATCTCATTACAGATGGTTGTGAGCCACCATGTGGTTGCTGGGAGTTGAACTCAGGACCTATGGAAGACCAGCTAGTGCTCTTAGTCACTGAGCCATCTCTCCAGCCCCCCCCCTTTATTTAAATTTTTAAAAGTTTTACTTGTTTTTATTGCATGTAGTGTTCTATCTGCATATTTGCCTGCACACCAGAAGAGGGCACCAGATCTCATGACAGACGGTTGTGAGCCACCATGTGGTTGCTGGAAATTGAACTCAGGACTGCTAAAAGAGCAATCATTGCTCTTGAGCTCTGAGCCATCTCTCCAGCACCACTTTTGCTATTATGAATTTTAGTATAAATATCAGATGTGCAGCCCCAAAGGGGTCTAGACCCACAGGTTGAGAACCACCGCTATAGAGCATGAGACCCTGCCTCAAGACAAAAACAAATAAAGAAGCTTCGTCCCTGGAAGGAGAGAGTTTCCTGACAATGGTCTTGGGGTCCTGACCTCTGGGGAGGAATCTGGAGTGAGGCCTGAGAGGGGAAGTGGGAACTACTTCATCCTATAGTGTGCCCTGCTCCATACCAGAGAAATGCAGGGCAGGGAAGCTCCCAGGAGGAGACTGCTCTCATCCTGCCCCCTTGGTGGTCACAGGTCCCCAGGGAGCCACTGGCTGCTGCCCTTGTTATGAGAAGGAAAGGGACAGGGACAGGCAGGCAGTCAGGCTTCACAGGAAGGAGGCAAGATCCCGGCCACGGGAGCGGCGGCCACAGCAGGCCTGGCTTCAGGATTGAGAGTGGCGGCACAGGCGCCAAGGTTCTTGTCTTGATCCCATGTGGATTTCCACTGCTTCTTAAGGGCCTGCTGCCCTGTGGGTCAGCCTCATGTGGCTTAGCTTTCACCTGTTGGATCTTTATCTATTTCCCCTGCTTCTGCCCCTGGTGCTGGGGATGGAATCCAGGTCCCGC